GGGGGTGGGGCTTGTGGTGGGCGGGGTCGGTGGTGGGCGGTGGGAGAAGGGAGGGGAAAGCAAAACCCACCTTGGTGGCCCTTCCAGAACACCAGAACTTCTTCGGTCTGGACGAAGCGCTGGGCCCAGTGGCCGTGAGCTTGCGGCGGGAGGAGAAGGAGGGCAGCGGAGGGGGCACCCTGCACAGCTACCGCATCATCGTGCGGACCACGCAGGTGGGCTCAGGTCCCCGGGATCTGGCTGCGGGTTGGCCTCCCCCACGCCCTATAGGGATTCTGAGCACCGCTCACACTCCCTCCCTCCTCAGCTCCGGACGCTTCGTGGCACCATCTCAGAGGACGCGCTGCCACCGGGGCCTCCGCGGGGCCTGTCCCCCAGGAAGCTTCTGGAGCTCGTGGCGCCCCGGCTGAGCCCCACCTGCCTGCGCCTGGGCTCAGCGTCTCCCAAGGTGCCGCGCACGCTGCTCACGCTGGATGAGCAAGTGGTGAGTGGAGGCCCGAGGGGCGGCAGCAGGGAATAGTGAGGGATCCGTGCTCCCAGGTGGTGGCCGCTGGGATGGGCAGGCATTTGCTTGGCGGAAACAGCAGCTGAGGCACCTGGGCCTGGAGCCCAGCAGGCAGTTGATTCCTCAGGTGTAGGGGTGGGGGTTGAGGGAGCAGCCCTTCTCCACCATGCTGGGGCTCAGTGGTCATGTGCTGGACTGCTAACCACAGCTCAGCTGTTGAAAACCACAAGCCCTTCCCACAGGGAAAGGTCACCCTTTCTACTCCCAATTGGGCGACTCGGTGGCAGCAAGTTTGCGTTCGTTTGGAAGCGGGTGGAGAGAAGTTTCACTTGGCCCTGTGGGCACGAGGGAGCCATGGGAGACTGGAGGGGCTACGGCAGCCCTCCAGCACAGAGACAGCGGCAAAGAGGAGGTGGGGTCCAGGCAACAGTGCAGAGGGGACTGGGCATGGCCCAGGGGTAGGGCTGGACTGGGAGTCACAGGAACTCAGAGATAGGAGTGTCCTCTGTGAAGGTGGGCCCTGAAGCCACTGGCGGTGGGGTGGGGGGAGTGTGACTGGAAGAGCGGTCCAGACACAAGAGTGTGATCCCCAATGCCAGCCCAGGGCCAAGAGGGTACCAGTATGCGTCCCTGCCCAGGGGCTATAGCAGGAGCCAGAGCGGAGGAGCGGGTTCGGAAGTGGTGAGGGCCATGCTGGGGCTGTGTGTGTGTGGACAGTGAGCGGAGGAGGGAGGTGGGGGACAGTCTGAGGGGAACCGGCGGTCAGAGCACCTGGGGCTGTGCTGGGAGTAGGGCAGAGAGTGTGCAGGGCTGGAACAAGGCTCTGGTCTCCAGCGACTGGGCTGGGTGCCAGGGACAGCAGGAGGCAAGCACAGTAATCCAGCCTGAGCTAAGAAAGATGACATGGTGACATTTATTGGGCCTTCCATGAACCCTAAGAACCAGCCCTCTCCCAGCCCCTCCCAACCCTCATCTACCACGGGGGCTGCGAGCAGGGTCATGGTCCACCCACATGGTGGACCAAGACACAGGTGGCTGGGGAGAGGTGGGTCTCAGGGCCACCCCTGAGGCAGCCCAGTCACCAGGCCAGTGTCCTATGCATTGTTCATGGCGGCACAGTGTGGCGGCCAGGGGACTGAGGCCTGGGCCTTTTGCCTGTCCCCTTCCTGCCCCCGCAGCTGAGTTTCCAGCGCAAGGTGGGTGTCCTGTACTGCCGGGCAGGCCAGGGCTCCGAGGAGGAGATGTACAACAACCAGGAGGCGGGGCCGGCCTTCATGCAGTTCCTCACCCTGCTGGGGGATGTGGTGCGGCTCAAAGGCTTCGAGAGCTACCGGGCCCAGCTGGACACCAAAAGTGAGGCCTAGGGGGCTCAGCGGGTAACCTTTCAGGTCTTTGTCCGCTGTGTCCATGGGCTGGGGGCTGCAGAAGATGGGCTGGGAGGAATAGCTAAGACCCCACTGCTTGAGCTGGGGCAGGGAGGTCTTTGGGGTCCCACCCATCTCCATTACCCTCAGTGCCACCAGCCCCACCTCCTCAGAAGCAGCCCTGCTTCCTGGTTGGAGAAGCCCCAGGATCCCTTAGAAGGCTTTGTCTGGACCACCTCTTGCCTGCCTTCCACTCTCATGCTCCCCATCTGCCTGGCCTCAGATGCCTGCCCAGCAGGACCTCCGGAGCAGAGCATGGCCCGTTTCTTCTTTACTCGATCTCGCTGCCCCTGTCCCTTGGCTCTGACGTTGGGGACCAGCCAAGGCCCTCAGACCCTCGTGGCCCGGGTGGGTGGCACCATAAGGTGGCCCCCCCCCTTATGATCGGGAGGCCAAAGTGGTGGTTGAGACCACGCAGACCCCTCTGGTTCTCATCCCATCCCCTCTCCCGGCTGCAGCGGACTCCACAGGCACACACTCTCTCTACACCACATACCAGGACCACGAGATCATGTTCCATGTGTCCACCATGCTGCCCTACACCCCCAATAACCAGCAGCAGGTGAGTAGGAGGCCAGGAGGGGAGGTGCGGGGTTGGCCATATTGGGACCCTGGTGTGAGCTCTGGGGACCTCCCCAACAGCCTTCCCTTTGGATGCCCTCCAATCAGGCCCCCAGGCCTGCCCTCGGAGCAGGTTAGGAGCCAGGCTGCCTTGCCCTGCCTTCCCGGAAAGAGGCGGCAGAGGGGGGCAGTCTGCCTCCTCTCATCCTCAACCACGTGACCCGCAGCTCCTGCGCAAGCGCCACATTGGCAACGACATTGTGACACTGGTGTTCCAGGAGCCCGGCAGCAATCCCTTCTGCCCCACCACCATTCGCTCACATTTCCAGCACGTGTTCCTGGTGGTGCGTGCGCATGCGCCCTGCACCCCCCATACCTCTTACAGGTGCATATGCCAGTGACCCCGTGGTCTCCCATGGGCAGGGACGTCCCGGACCCTCTCTTCTGCCCTTCATTGCTGCCTCCATCCTCACAGGGTGGCGGTGAGCCGCACTCAGGACACCCCGGCCTTTGGGCCAGCTCTGCCCGCCGGCGGAGGCCCCTTCCCGGCCAACGCCGACTTCCGGGCCTTCCTGCTAGCCAAGGCACTCAATGGGGAGCAGGCGGCTGCGGGCCACGCACGCCAGTTCCACGCCATGGCCACGCGCACGCGCCAGCAGTACCTGCAGGACCTGGCCACCAACGAGGTGACCACGACGTCGCTGGACTCTGCCTCACGTTTCGGGCTGCCCTCGCTGGGCGGCCGGCGGCGGGCGCCTCCGCGGGGTCCGGGCGCCGAGCTGCAGGCAGCGGGCGCGCTGGTGTGGGGCGTGCGCGCGGCCCCTGGAGCGCGGGGCGCCGCCGGGGGCGAGGCCAGCGGTCCCGACAGCTCCGAGGTACCCTGCCTGCTGGGCATCTCGGCGGAGGCACTGGTGCTGGTGGCGCCGCGCGACGGCCGCGTGGTCTTCAACTGCGCCTGCCGCGACGTGCTGGCCTGGACCTTCTCCGAGCAGCAGCTCGACCTGTATCACGGCCGCGGGGAGGCCATCACCCTGCGGCTCGACGGCTCCCCTGGGCAGGCGGTGGGCGAGATCGTGGCGCGCCTGCAGGTGAGACGAGCTGAGAGCCACGTGCTTAGGGCAGAGCTGGGACTTGGGGTCCTGGAAGGGCCAGTGACTGGCCGCTGAGCTTGTGGTCTAACTTTGCCGGGAGCGTTGCTGCACACTGGGGCTCTCCAAGGGTGTGGCCTGGGGGGCGGAGCTCCTGGAGGCGGGGCCTGCACCCACCCCACCCCACTCTCACAGCTGGTGAGCCGGGGCTGCGAGACTCGGGAGCTGGCACTGCCCCGAGACGGCCAAGGCCGCCTGGGCTTCGAGGCAGACGCGGAGGGCTTCATCACGCACGTGGAGCGCTTCACCTTCGCCGAGACGGCAGGGCTGCGGCCCGGGGCGCGTCTGCTGCGCGTGTGCCGCCAGACGCTGCCCAGCTTGGGCCCCGGAGCCGCCGCCCATCTGCTCCGCAGTGCGCCCAAGGTCTGTGTCACCGTGCTGCCCCCGGACGACAGCGGCCGACCTCGCAGGTCAGAGTGCCAGGACGTGGGCAGGGCCACCTTAGCGCGCTCTCAGGAATCCCCAGTGGACATCCCATTTCTCTGAGCCGCACTTACCTGTCTGTAGAATGGAGTCACTTCAGCGGGAGCAGTTTACCCTGCTCTGAAAATGGAAAAAACAGTCAAGGCCCTTTTGTAAAGTTACAACTCTCTCTTTCTCTTTCACACACACACACACACACACACACACAAAAGGCCCTTTTGTAAAGTTACAACTCTCTTTCACACATACACAGACACACACACAGACACACACATACACACACAAGGCCCTTTTGTAAAGTTACAACTCTCTTTCACACAGACACACACACACACACACACACACACAACCACCCCCCTCACCCCTTAAATACTGTTTTTGGGTAAAAGACCAGATATGGTCTATCTGAGAAGGAGCTCTGATGGCCTAGTGGTGATGCATTGGACCACTCACTGCAAGGTCAGCAGTTCAAAACCACCAGCTACTCCTTAGGAGAAAAACGAGGCTTTTCTGCTCCCATAAAGTATCGGAAACTCACAGGAGCAGTTCTCCCTTGGCCTGAAGGGTTGTGATGAGTCGGCGTTGACGCGATGGCAGGGAGTTCGGATTTGGGCCATCTGGGAGGAGCGCTGGCAGCCTCGTGATGAAAATGTCCAGCTGCTAACCGCTAGGCCAGTGTCTGACCCAGCCGTCCATGGGAAAAAGATGTGGGCACCAGCTTCTGCTTTCCTAAAGCCCGGCGTCCTCAGAGGCCCCGGGAGCAGCTCTACCCTGCCCTGTGGGTCACACAGGGCTGGCCAGCGTGTGCTTGGTGTGGGTCAGGGGCCATCCAGTGTCTGGCAGATCCATTCTGGTCCCTGAAGTGCAGACACGGCCCTAGACAAGATATGAATGCATGAGCACGGCTGGGCTTCACTACAGCTTGACCTATGAAGGCTTCTCGTGGGGAATTAATACGTAATTACATGTCATTTTACCCGGCCGGAAATATGTTTTAATTCACACCCCCCCACGGATGCAACATTTAAGCAGGTACAAAACCGTCTTGACCTGCAGTGGTACGAACAGGCTGGACTTCACCTCGGCTATGCTGCGTGTCTCCCTGCTGCACTAAACCCTACACGCCCTCTGCTCAGATGGGGACATTGAGGGGCTGAGTGACTCACCCAGCAGGCACAGGGGGCAGCACCGAGATGGACACTTAGCCAGGCAGACCCGTTAGTGGTTGTTGGAAAGGGCGCCTAGGCACCACTGGGTTGGGGCAGGGCTGGCACGATGCTGGGGGCACCTGCCTGACATTGACCTCCCGCCCCAGGAGCTTCTTGGAACTGTACACGCTGTCGCTGCAGGAGCCCAGCCGGCGGGGTGCTCCGGAGCCTGTGTCTGAGGGGGCCACGGGGGTGGCCCTGCTGCCCGCCACGCAGCAGCTCCTGCACCTGTGCCTGCCTGATGGTGGAGGCCAACGGGGGCCTGGGGCTTTGGCCGAGGAGAGGACAGAGTTCCTACACAGCCGGAGCTCACCTTCACCCAGCAGGTGCCGCCTTGTGGGTCTGCCTCACCTGCTGTGTGCTCCCGGAACGGGGGATGGGTGGTGGTGGTGGTGGGCAGCCCTGAGCTGCCCCTGTTCTCTGCAGCTCCCTGTCTGACGAGGGCCCCGTCCTGCCCAACGCCACCCCAGACCTCCTCCTCGCTGCTACGGCCAAGCCAGCAACACTCAGTGCTGGCAGGGAGACACCTCCTACCCAGGTGAGCAGACACAAGACTCTGGGCCCATCAGGGGAGGTTGGACACTGTGGTGACAGTGGGCATTAACTTGCCGGCACCTGTCATTGGCTCCCCAGGACGGGACGGGCGGTCCCAGTAGCTGTGAAGACAGGGAAGACCCGGCCCCTGAGCTGAGAGCATCCTTCCTGCCCCGAACCTTGTCTCTGCGTAACTCCATTAGCAAGAGTGAGTCTGGGCCCAGAGTCCCTGGGGGTGCAGGGAGCCCAGCCTGGCTGCCCCTGAACCCTGTCCTGTGCCACAGTCATGTCGGAGGCGGGCAGCGAGACCCTGGAGGACGAGTGGCAGTCCATCTCTGAGATCGCATCCACGTGCAACACCATCCTGGAGTCGCTGTCTCGGGAGGGTGAGGCCACCCGGGACTGGGGAGGAGCCAGGACAGGATGGGGCTTTCTCCCTTTACCCCCCTACTACACGGTCCCTCTGGCCCCACAGGACAGCCGATCCCAGAGAGCGGAGACCCCAAGGGTACCCCAAAGTTGGATGCTGAGTAAGTTTCCCTGCCTGCTACTGCCCATCCTGTGCCTGTGCGACCACCATTCATGCCCATTCTTGGGTTTAAGCCCCACCCCCCACCCCACCCCTCCCCTTCCCGGGGGGCTCCCGTTCACAGGCAACCAGCCTCAGGAGCCAGGGTGGCCCCTGTCACCCAGGTGGGACTAGCTCAGGTGCTGCCTGACCCCCATGTCTCCAGGCCACCAGAGCCTGGGAGCCTGTCCCAAAAGGTCTCCCACTTGGAGTGCATGCTCAGGAAGCTGCAGGAGGACCTGCAGAAGGTGAGGGGCTGGTGGCAGTGGGGGTGGGGGTGGGGCAGTGGGCCTGGGGCAAGGGGTCTGGCCGCTGACTCTGGCTCCACTGCCCTCCCAGGAGAAGGCGGACAAGGCGGCTCTGGAGGAAGAGGTGCGGAGCCTGCGCCACAACAACCGGAGGCTGCAGGCGGAGTCTGCCAGTGCTGCCACCCGCCTGCTCTTGGCCTCCAAGCAGCTGGGATCCGCCACCCCCGACCTGGCCTGATGGGGGTTCATGCCGGCCTCCTGGGCCACACGTGCCCTCAGGCCTCCTCAGGAACCCTGCTCCCTCCCTGCGAAGAGGTTGTCTTTAGCACTGCCCTCACCCCAGCTCCTCCTGTGGTGGCAAGTGTTCCCCTTTCCTGACCTCATTTGTAAATATTCTTCAGAGAAAAGGAGACTTGGGGAGTAAAGAAGCCACTGTCACCTGTGTGTGTCTTGTGTGTGTCTGGGTGTCCACACTGGGGCGTAGGAGGAGGGGAGGGCCTTTACCCCCAGGGGGCATCCCCTGGGGTCACAGGCTCAGGGTTGGGCTGGTACTCACTGGGGAGGGGTGGGGAGTGGGGAAGAGTCTTGTTTCTGAGGCTAGACCACCCTTGGCTTTCCTCCCCCACACATTAATTTCTAATGGGACGCAGGTAGCCACCCCCCAGGCACCCACCCCTTGACCTTTCTTGTCTTAGAGCCAGGCCTCGCCAGACCCCTGCTTTGGGACCACCTGAGGAGCTGGGATTAGGGGCTGAGGTTCACCTGCAGGGTTGGGGTGGGGGTAGCTGCAGCGCTTCAAGGGTTGCCCAGAGGCTGGCCACACCCCATTGTAGGCCCTACTTCCTAGCCTGGCACCCCCTTGACCCCCTAGTCAGATGAGGTCTGCAGATAGCACAGGTTCAACCCCAGGGGTGCATCAGCCCATGTCTCCCGTAGGTCCCCACCAGGCAGAGCCTTTTCCAGGAGGTAGCCCCAGCAGGTCTGAGCCCTTGATTCTCTGAGCCCCAGGTTCAGAGAGGGCACCAACCTCCCCCTTCCTCGGCCCTTCCTTCGGCTGGCCAAGGCTCATCTGACTTGAGACCAGCCACGGACCTGTCAGCTTAGCCTCATGCAGGTTGAGCTAGGCCCTGGTCGCACTCGGGTGTCTACGGCAAATGGGGATGGGGGTCTGGCCATGGGGCTGGCAGATAGCCAAAGGGTGAATGCTGGGGGAGATTGGGTCATCTTGCAAGATGACATGATAGAACGGAGCCAGCACCTGCTGAGGGATCAGTTATGGAGCGCTAGGGGAAACGTGGGTGCCCAGGCTCTAGGAGGGAGGTGGGAGGGGCCCAGGTTGGGGTTATCTGAGGTCATTTGAAGTGGAGGGAGGGAGCAGGGCGCCAGCGGAGCTGTCCAGTAGGCTGGATGCAGGGGGCAGGTCCCAGCTGGAGACTGATCTGGGGCTGGTGAGTGAGCCCAAAGCAAGATGAGCTCACTGGGGCGTGTGGGAAGGACTAGGAGGTTCCCGGAGGTCACCGGGTGTCACTGCTGGCTCTGAGGACAGTCAAGCGGGCAGACCCAGCCTGAGCTGCAGGACAGGGCTCACAGAGTCTCCTCTGGACCCCAGAGGAGCGCATCGGTTGGGCAGAGCATCGACGTCGGCTTCCAGTTGGCTCCATGTCCCCTGCGCGGCAGGGTCTGCCCCCGTGCCACCGGCTGCGGGCCGCCCCTTGCGCGGAGTGGCCCGCCCAGCCCAGGAAGCGACAGCGCTGGCGCTCTGGACTCCAGCACTCCGTCCCGGCTGGCATCGCCACCGCGGCAGCGATCCCCCTGGGTCTGCACCTACGCGCGCCTAGCCCTCCCCACCCCGCCGTGGTGTGAAGCCGTCGAGCGGCCGCGAGCTCTCCACCGCCCAAAGCCGGCACCTGGCTCCGGGCAGCGAATGCGGTCCGGAGAAGGCGGGGTCCGGCGCCCAAGGCCTTTCCCTGACCTGGTGCGCGTGCGCCAGGCCGCCGAGGGAGGGGCGGGCGCTCGCCCGGCGCATTTGTGGGGCCGCACGGAAGAGGTCCTCTCCTTCCAGAGCAGGGCATCAGTGCTCATGTGAGGTGGGCAGTGACCTTCCCTGACGTCTCCCCTTCCCGAGACAGGGCACCCCCACCCCACGGAAATGCGGTAAGGGCCTCCCAGCCCGTGTTCTGACCCCAGTGAACTCTCCGGGTCTCTCCCCGCTGGGGCCGCTGACCGACAGAAGGCCAGGAGCGAAGGTGGTCTCTGCGAAGCCCGCCCTTAAATCCCGCCAGGCCCCCATGCTCGCGTGGGGAACAGCGACCTCCGCAGCTTGCTGGGGGCTTGGAGGCGGGGTTCCCGATCGGATGATGGACGGGTGCAAAGCACCTGCGCAGTGTCGGAGGGAAGAAGGCGGAGCTCTGGCGAGCGTGGCAACGACTTTATTAGTTGAGAGTATTAAGAGCAAGAGTCCAACTGCTTTCACCGGCTTCCCGCATGGGCGGCACCTCGCCAGCCGCCCGCCCTCGGCCCTCCCCCATCCTGCAAACCACTTGCCCAGCCGCTAAGGCACTTGAGAAAAAAAGGGAGGGGGTGTCAGGCCCACCCCCCTGTGGATCCTGGAGCAGTACAGACCAGTGCTGGACCACCCTTCAGCTGCAGTTGACCCAGGAAAGGGCTCCCGGGGCACAGGGACCTCTACAAGGCAGGAGAGCCAGGGTCTCTGCGCCAGCGCTGGGTTCAAGGTCAATCCTAAGGGCCCAGGAAGGGGCATTTGGAGGGTCCTAACGAACCCACGGTTTGAGGAAGATAAGGCTTGGCAGGCTCGTGGGGGTTGTAACTGACCCATTATTTGTTGGCAATGAATCTGTGGTTTGAGGAAGACACTTGATAATAAGGCTTAGCGGCCTCAAAGGTGGCGGCGGCTGTAACCTGCCCATCTCTACGAGTACTGGACGCTGGAGGGGGGGGCTGCCTCCCTCCCCCATCTAGTTCTCTAGAGAGCAGGGGCCAGAACCTTACTGGGCTGGAGAAAAGAGTTCAGGTGCTTCCAGCTCCCTCCTCTCCAGAGGTCAGTGCTCCCTTCTGCTTAAGAGATGGGTAGATACTGCAGATAAGAGTAAGATGTGCCCCCACAGAAGACCTCACCCAGTGAGGTGGGGGCAGTAGGAGCACGCACCCCGGAATCCATCAGTGCCCCAGGCGGGGGGGGGGGGGTGTCCGTCCCCGTCACCCCCTAGGAGCTGATCTGACTGAGCAAGGCTGAGAAGTCCATGTCGGCGATGGAGGAGAAGTCTTCCTCCCCTGGCAGGAGGCCGTTGGGAAGCCCCGGGGCGCCCATGGGGGCGGGAGCTGGGTCGGGGGGCCTCTGGGAGCCTGTCACCAGGCGCGTGATGGCCTCAGGATACTCCATCAGCATGGGCTCTGCCGAGTGGGGGGCCAGAGCCACCCCCTGGCTCAGCAGCTGCTGAAACTCTGAGTTGTCCACGGAGGCCAGGTCCGTGAACACGGCCGGGTCTGCGTTGTTGCCCAGCAGGGCCCCCAGGTCTTCATCAGCATCAAACTGCAGCTGCAGCAGGGCCTCCGTCAGTGTCCCTTCTCCCGCCTGGCTGCTCTTGGGGGCCCCTGGGGCCCCAGGCTGGGCAGGACCCGGAGCCAGGACGGGGGCTGGGGCCTGGGCCAGAGCAGATGTCATGGCTGGGGCTGAGGCTGGGGCCAGCACTGGGGCTGGTGCCTGGCTTGGGATCTGCCCAGGAGAAAACATCATGGGGGAGAACTCTTCAAAGTTGATGGTGCTCAGGGATGGCGTGAAGGGATAGGGCTGGGGGGCTGGTGAGAGAGACGGAGAGAGAGGCGGGGTCAGAGGAGGTCGTGGAGATAGGGCCCTCCTCTCGGGGCTCAGGACCCACCACCCTATGGAGTCACTGCCCACAGCCTCGCTCCTTCCTCTTACCCAACCAGCCGAGCCTCCTTCTTGGAGACCTCCCAGACTATGAACCCCCACCCCAATCCCCACCTTTCACAGCTGGAAGCCAAGGCCACTGAGGGATGAGCTCTGGGGACCCCGATGGGCACAGGCCCCTTTTGAGCCACACGACAGCACAGAAGTTGCCCCTTTGTCCCCACTTCAGCCGGGAGCTATGGGAAGAGCCTGCACGTGGGACTGCTATGCGTCCACTGCTGGGCGGCATCCAGGCTTTATAGTTGTCAGCCTCCCCGGGAGGGAAGGGGCTGGTTCCTGAGCTGACTTTCCAGAGGCTCAGGCTCAGCAGGTCTGCAGCTGGGCCCAGGAACCTGCATCTTCTCTCCACCGAGCAAATGGGCCCTCTAGAGAGCAGGCTTCAGCCAACATCTGCTGGCGGGCCAAGGCCTGGGCTCCCCAGATTGGAGGCAGCCAGTCCCTGGGAACAAAGGCTCACCTGGCTTGGGGACGGAGGCTGAGCTGCGGGAAGGCACAGCGATGCGCCGGGGAGGCGGCCGTGGGTCCGTGGGTCCTGCAGGGCGGTGGGGGTGGCTATCAGCTCCCAACACTTGGTGCCCCCTTCCCTGTCTGCCCCCGCCCACGCCTCTCACCATTGAAAGGGCTCTTTTTCATGATGCTCTTGAAGGTCTCATAGGTCCTCTTGCGCTTCTCCTCAATGCGGTGACGATCATCTGGGGAGGAGAAGGGAGAGGTGGGTTCCCCTGTCCTCACAGGCCCCTTAGGAGGAAGGTGAGGGGTGATTTTTCCAACCTCCACACATATGGACAGGCCCCCCCAGGACGGCTGGCACAGTTGAAGGCCTGCGGTGTTGGGAGCAGGCCGCTGGTGCGGACCTCTGATGCTCTGTGGTCCACTCCAGGTGGCAGGGCCATGCTCGGGGACAGGGCTACAGGGCATCCCAGCCTCTCACCTGTCCTGCTCACGTTCTAGCACACCTCCAACCTCAAGCCAGGCCTGGTGCTGGTCTCCCTGGGCTCGGGGGCCCTTCCTGTACAACCAGCTTCTCTAGGGCGTCAACCAAGTCCTGTGCCTCCTCCTGATGGCGCCAGAGCTTAGTTTGGGGCTCTCAGAACCTTCTCTCTCATGCACACCTCACCCCACACTGCCAACCCCCGTGCCCCCATTCCCTCCACAATTACTGCTCCATCTCTGAAGCTGGAAACCTTGGCGTCCGCCTCCTCATCCCTTGGCCTCTCTCCCCATCACCACCTGTGTCTTCCCAGCACCTGCTCTGCCAGGCTCCCTGGAGCCACCGGGGACAGAGCGTGGGCACGCAGCCAGAGCCCACCTCCTAGCGGCCAGATGGAGCACAGCCACATCCCCACACACACGGGGTCCCTACAAGTGGCGGGAGCTCGGAGGGCTAGTTTACAGGGGGTCCTCGGAGGGTCAGCATGGCCCCCTGGAGCCACATGCCAGGCTGAGGTAGCAGTGTAAAACCCAAAGTGTGAGTGAACTTGGGGTGCACCCCACACATGGAAGCTGGGGAGGCTGAAGCAGGGAGCTGTGCGGGAGAGGGTGCTTGCCACACAGCCTCTCCCTCAGCCCTTCCCTTCCCGGAAGGTTGGGTTCATTGGCCCTGGTTCCTCTCCGATGGTTCCAGCAGTCCCCAGGGGCTCTCAGAAGGCTCTTTCCAACAACGTCAGCTTTGGGGTCACCCTACTGCTACAGTGCCTCACTAAACCACCTCCCCAGTTGGGGTCTCCTGGACCCACACACAGCACTGCCTGGGGTAGCTTCCAGGTATGTAGTACGTATGTACACACACACATGCACACACACCCCACCCCCACCCCATGGCTCCCCATGGCCTCGGGATGAAATCCTGATGTACCTGGGAACTCAACACTCGGGCCTCCTCTGCCTGACCTGCTCACTGTGCCCGACCTCTCAAGACGCTGGCCCTCCCAGCTGGGGAATGCGCCTGCGTGTCCTCCCCCAGCTCTGCGCTGGCCTCCTCCCTCTCCTCCCCTGGCACTCGGCACCCACGGCCCCCGGTTTCTCCTGTCACGCTGTGGCATCGGGAGCTGTTTTGCATGTCTGTCTTCCTCGTGTGACTGGGCTCCTGAAGGGCAGGACCTAGGCCTTACTCATCCCGACACTCACAATACCTGGCACGGGCCCTTGGCACCAGTGGGCCCTGGGTCATGTGGGCTGGCTGGCCTTGCCTGCTCTACTGGGCTGTTCCTGGTGCAAAGGGTTCCTGGGCGTGCGGGGGCGGTGCCCACCAGAGCCTGGCCCAGCCCTGGCACCTGGAGAGAGCTCAGTGCTGGCCGTGCCGTGAACTCGCCGTGGGACCTCTGACAAGCCTCCCTGGGGGCTAGGTGCCGTCCACAGCGACCCTGGTACAAAGCAGCAAAACACCGCCCAGTCCTGCGCCAGCCTCTCGATGGTTCTGAGGTTGGAGTCCATTGCTGCAGCCACTGTGTCCATCCATCATGTCCAGGGCCTTCCTTTTTTCCGCTGCCCCTTCACTTTACCAACACATGATGTCCTCTAGAGACTGGTCTCCCCTGACATGTCCAAGGTACCCGAGCCACAGTCTCACCACCCTGGCCTCTGCGTCCGTCTATCTCGGAGCAGACTCCCACAGCCCCATGGCTGCCCTTGCCCTCTGGTCACCTGTGTCTGTGTGTCCCTGCCTTTGCCTGTCTCGGGGCAGACTCCCATAGCCCCGTGACTGCCCTTGCCCCCAGTCACCTGTATCTGGCAGGTACTGGAATTCCATGGGTTCGCTGAGTTCCCGGTCAGACGGCCGCCGCAGCTGCATGGAGACGCGCACCGGGGCCTGCAGGCTGGGGTCCGCGTAGGGGGGCGTCCGGAAGACAATGGCCACTTGCCGGTGCACATCCGCTTGCGAGAAGGCGCCTCGGGCCTCCCAGCCTGGCCCCGTGAAGCACACTTCAATGTCCTCTGTAGGAAATGTACCAGCAGTGAGGGTCGGGGGGTGGGCTGGGGGGGTTCTGCATGCTGGTACTGGCTCCCGAGATACCCCTCTGGAGTTTGGCATCAGTGCTGTGACCCTGGCCCGCTCTGCTCCACCTTTGCTCCGGAGAGCCCAGCCTGCCCGACCCGACCCGTGTGTACCTTTTTGCACCTTGTCACATAGCAGGAAGATCTCGTCCCCGCCGAGGCAGCTCCCGGAGTTGCGGTTCACTCTGCAGATCTTGAGTTCAGCAGTGTTGGGGGCGCCTGAGGGCGGGGGAGCACAGCAGGCAGCTCTGAGCCACCAGAGCGCCTGGGGCTAGCCTGCGGGAGCTGCCCCCTCCTGGCCTGGCAGAGGCAACGGATTGCCCAAAGCTTGCTGACCACACTGCCACAGCTATGTCAGACCAGGCCCCTTGGCTCTCAAGCCCACCCAGCTGTGCATCTGCCAGGACTCAGCCCTGGCCCGGACACCAAGCTTCAGCAGAACCACAACGTCTCTGGCCTCATAGAGGTTCCAGGCTGGCAGGAACCGATCTGACTGCACCCCCTTCTCCGCCTGACCCCTCTCCTCTTCAAGGTTCAGTTCCGGCCACCTTGGCAGCCAGGCCTGTCCTGCCCTCCAGGCAAAAATAGTCAGGCATGGAGTGACAGCTCAGGAAGTCTGCACAGTGCGTAGTGAGGCACAATACAGGGGCAGATCTGGGGACTCAGGGCCCTCTGATTGTCACCCATCCTGCCCCGTCTAGCTAACACTGCCAGCCTAACTCTTCATTGAAACTCTCTCCCACCCCGTGTCCCTAGGAGCCCAGTCCTTGGGGGTCATTAGACCTGGGTACCTAACTCCTACACACACACTTTCTCTCTCTCTCCTCTGGTGACACTGAAAAGCCTGTCCCCTGTGGACTCCCCACCAGCCTAGGAGCTCTGGGTCCTCTGAGCCTGGTCTCCCTGCCCGCCCAGAGCAGGGTCCTGGGGAGAGAAGGAAGCTGCTGGAAGGCAGAATGAAGCCAGCGCTCCTCTCCCAGCCCCCTCTTCCCTCTGCGAACCCGACCCTCTTCCCATCTGGCGGCAACCTGGCCACTCACGGTTGTCAAAGATGGGGTGAGAGAGGACAGGCAGCAGGCGGAGGGGCCGGCCTGCCGGGTCGCGCACGGTCACCTGGAAGCAGAGGCGCACGGCTTTCAGGTCGTAGTCCCCGCGCTGCTCTTCGATGGGGACTGCAGGAAAACCCAGTGTGGCGGTCAGGAGGAGGGAGGCCCCCGGCGAGGCAAGGGCCAGAAGCTCAGCGCTGGGGTGCGGGAAACAGCAGGTGCGCAGAGCAGGCAGAAGAGACGGCTCGAGGCCCATCTAGACTCCACCTGCCACCCCAGATGCTGTGCCCTGTCTGGGAGCGTGTGCGTGGACAGGCAACAAGACGCCCCTTGCACTGTGACTGCTGGGCAGGGAGGGGGTTTGGGTGGGGGGCCTCAGGGGGGCCCAGACTTCGTCCCACAGCCCTCACCTTGGAAGGAGTTGTTGCTGGTCTGGATGCGCTGACTGATAGCCTGCTCCAGGTCCCGCTTCTTTACACACTGGATCCCCAGGTTCTGGAAGCTGATGCCCCGGGCCTTTAGGACTGCTGTTGCCAACAGGGCCGAGCCCCCTGCCCTTCCTCCCCCTACCCGCCGGTGGCTCCCCCAGTTCCGGACCTCAGCCTCCTGGGCTTCTTCCCGGCTCCTCAGGTTTTGTTAAATGCATCCCCACTTCCAGGCCTTCCTACCTGCCTGGCACCATCTGTCTCGGCTTCCCTAGCTCACTGCTGGAGTCTCAGGCTGAGCCAGACCTTCTCAGAGCTTCTGATCCAAAGTTCTGGCTCCCGCCCTGGGTCATTCTTCCGACCCACAAGGACCCAACAGAACTGCCCGAGTGGGTTTTCTGGGCTGTTTGGCTCAGCACAAAACAATGTGGCCCTGAACCGAGGACTCCGAGGTGCCAGGGCCCCCACACCCCAATCGCTTACAGACAAATGAAGTCCGCTGCTGGAGCCGGCCGGGGTCAGGGCAAGGAGGCAAGAGTTCTGTTCTGGATCCGGAAAAGGGGTACCAGCCACGAGACCTCCCCTGCCTCCTGCTCTGCCCCACCCCATCCCAGCGCGTCAGGTCGTCACCTGTGGATGCAGCGGTCGGGGCAGAGCTCAGCCTCATAGAAGCCATCTCGGCAGTCCTTCCCCACAAGCTCATGGGGGTGAGGCCGGTGCGGGGGGTCCTTGGTGACGAGGGAGATTCGAACGGTCCCTGGCCCTGTGTAGCCATTGATCTGTCCAAAGTACAGGGGACACCTTCCAGGGCCAAGAATTCCACACCCCACCCGGGGCCACCTGTCCAGATTCCAGAACCCCTCCTCCACTCCGCACCCCCAGCCCGCCCGGGCGGGGGTGGCGGGGCGCGCTGACCTTGATGGTGGGGTGGGTCTTGGTGGTGTCCGTGCTCCTCTCGCCAGGGATGCTGCCCGCCGAGCGCCCTTCGCACTTGTAGCGGAAACGCATGCCCCGCTGCTTGGGCTGTTCGATGATCTCCACATAGGGGCCGGAGGCCTGGGCTGGCTCTGGGTGGGGGGTGGGGGGTGCGGAGGGGGTGGCCACAGGAGCCCCATGAGCGGCTGCCCGCTGCCCCACCCCTGGGGGGATCGCCGAGGCCCGGAGGGAGGCAGGTCTACTTACCGGCGGCGGGGAAGATGAGGGGAAACAAGTCTGGAAGGCGAGGGAGACGAGAGTGAGAAGGAAAGTCCATCCCCCGCGGGGGCAGCGGAGGGCACGGGAGGCCTGTCCCCCTCCCCCAAGCCGCGGCGGGGCGCTGAGCGTGGGTGAGGGGCCAGGAACACCTGTTTCCTGCGGGAAAACTGGGCCTCGGGTCTTTCCCCGCGTGACTGGGGGAAACTGAGTCAGGGTGGGGAGCACGTTCACGGGAAAGGGCACTAGGCGTCCTCCCGAGGGAGCAGACCCAGTGGGCCACGTCCCCCCATCAGGGACTTCACGCCCGAGTTAGTCGCCTGCATCGGCCATGGAGGGAAACTGAGTCAGGTGTCAGCCCGCAGCCGCACCGGGGCAGGTAACCGCGCTCGGGCT